ATACAAATCTGTTTACGCCCTTAAGTCGTAACAATCTGAATACGTTTCTAGAAGAAACAAACAAAAATGGGTAAGAGGAGAGGAGCAATAGCTGTATCGACTCACAATCAAACAACGAAATCTTTAAATGGTTAAATTCGCCTAAGAGATGAGGAACGATGAAAGACAATTTTTCAGAAAAACTTACTTGCATGCGTCGCTGATCTTTTCTGACGTGTTGCTGATGGTCTGGAAATTTGCCATTATTCGAGACTCACAGCTCAAATGCAAATTTTCCAACTCTTCCATAAGTTTGACTTTGTAGTTGTTTATGAAATCTATGCTCCGCGCCGCAATATCTTCGATAGAACGCCAAGCTTCCTCGACATGTTCTTGCAATTGTTTCATGCTGTTCTCCAGTTCGCGATTGACAGAATCGCAACAACGTACCTAAAGAGCAAAATAATCAGGGTCGCCACAGCAAGTTGAAAATAAATTATAAATATCAGGAGATTTTCTTGGGCGCATTAGCAGTCACATTTATTATCAGCATGGTTTACATCAAGTATTCATAACATTCGCGTCGGTACAGTAAAACGCTTACCATTAACTGATAATTACTTTTATGCAGTGAGGTTAAAGGACTTTATCGCCGCGCCATTAGCCAAAAATCAGGCATAAAATCAAATACCTGTCAATAAGCAAAACGACACGGTAATGAACGGCAAAAAATGTATAATAACATCAACAGCCAATTAAATAAAAGAAATATGATAATATGACTTGACATAAGTACTGAAAACAAATTCGGGTAACGTCAACGAACAGTTTCAGGGTATCTCATATTATGCAAAGGATCTGAAATTACAAATCCGTGAGTTTCGTTCTACAAGAAAAAGTAATAAGTCCCTATCTGAATGAGGAGATCCTGAATCTCTTATAAGGCCAACTCATTCTGTTACTGAAGATATGCTTAGGTGGAGTGCAAAAGGATGAAAAGATGTCCATATGTAGTACTAGCATCATAATGTGGCAATGTAAGCTGTTATTTTCTGGAAATCTATCTCAAACAAATCTAAAACAAATTTAAAAATTAACTGGGTCAATCACAACTGCTAAAAATGGCATGTGGGAGTGAAACTTCGATTTGGTTAACAAAAACTAAATTTTAATTTTACGTAGTAGCACATGTTCTATATACTTAGCCTTATTCCCAACTAGAACATCATCGGCACCAAAATAAATTTCTTAAAATGCATACATTTTCCATTCCTTTTTTGACAAAGCCTTCAAGTTGTTCACGAACTCTGTCGTCCAGAAATGTACTGACTTTTTCATGGTCGTGATCAGGGGGCCTGTGATTTGCCATTGCACATTCGTTGCACACAGGAATCTGAAATAATAAAATATAACTTAACTTCAATACGTTATCTCCGCTTAACATACAAATTATTAAATATATGACAAAAGAAAACAGCTTGAATACCATATGGCTTGTTTCCAATAGCAGCACAGCGTTTACACCTTGTGCTGATCATGGACACAGTATAATCAGCCATCAGGTTCGTTGAGTGCAGTCCTAAGAGATGCTCACACGAAAAGGAATGAAATATCTCTCACCCATTCTGCTGTGGCCACGCCAACACACCACGCAATCCCTGTTGCTCGCAAGGTAAAGGTTTGCTATCTGATTCTTGGCTGGCCGCGCAGACGCAAAGTGAGGCGAATTCCCTGCTCAAGGGAGTTAAAAGTTAAGAGATTCAAGATTCAGGATTCAAACCAGGTACTTCCGGAATTCACAGTCGACTTCTCACCACTGTGCCACCGTCCCGTCAAGAAATCTATCGTCAACACCAGAAGTACTGAGGTAGAATCCTGACAAATTTCTTAACCGCCAACTCACTTTACTACAATTGAAAAACTAGAGCATCCTGAATAAGTGACACCAAGTTAAATTTCAAATAATTTGGTTTTTAAACATGAATTATGTTCTGCTAAAACAGTTTCGGGCGAAATGCCAAGGGCTGTCTTAAGTATAACCTTTTATGTAATGCCAAGATCCTGACCACAGAACAGTTGCTGTCCTCAAAACGGAACAGATATGGCTTAACACGAACTAATTTTAATAATGAAAATTTATATTTTAACATGAATGTACAGTTAAATTTTTATTTCGCTTCGAAGCGATAAACTTTCTTAAGGACAAAGTAAAGGATCGGCTCATTTAGTTCGTTCTTGAATGTAAAAAATTAAATTAAATTCTATCGAGGTAATTTATTCTCTAACATAATTCAGTTGAACAGAAAATAAATAGACCACAAACTTGGCATGTAGAGCAGAAATATCGCATGGTTTCAGACGGATGAGCGAGGCAATTGACCGGTTTGTGAATGAGCAATGTGTCATCAGAGTTTCTGATCTCGTCGAATCCCAAGACCTTGAATAGGAAAAAAAATGATAAGTGCAACAGCAGCAGAGTCAGCACTCTAACATACCTTATGACTTTCAAAACATCTCATAAACTGATGAGCCTGAACACAATTGGGGCACAGAAAGTTCGCACAGTCTATGCATCGAGCCACTGCCTTGTCCTTCGTTTTGCAGGACTCGCATGATAGTTGAAAGAGCTCCATCGCATTCGAATCTTGCAGGTTCATCGTCACAAAATCAGGCGTCAGCAGCTGAACCCAACGTAAATCATTGCCTATGTTACTGTCCTAAAGTAGATTTGATAAAAAATACTAGTAGTAATAAAATATATAAATACTAATCACGCAAAACCAGACTTCTATAAGACTTAATTTCAATAAACCTTTGCGCTACAGGCAAAGTTCATCTATGGCGGATTAAACCCATTCCCATTCGTTAATCAATTCCTAGTGCTTATGCGTTTTCAAATTAGATTTCAGTATGTAATGCAGAATAAAATAATATTGTAAATAGTATGAGAAAAGAGCTGAATAAAAGGCCCGTCTATTTCACCACTTCACTTTAGTTATGAAATTATCAAATGACCGAACCACAGACTCTTCCGTCTCCTCGTGATAACAGACTATAATCAAACCTATTTCCCATTGGATTTTCTAGAACCGAGAGGCACTCGGAGTGTCATTCCTGTTGAAAGCCATCTGAGAAAAGACGTCTGTCAACTCTTTCATGATGAAACGTTTCGGTTCTTCTAGTGGTTCCGAAGTCTCAGCTTCAGCAAGTTTCGCAGCTTCCAAATCAACAAGTTCTTCATTTGATGATTCATTTTTATGCGAGTCAATTCTTCGAAGTCATGTTCATCAACTTCAGTTTTAGTTGTTCAGTGACTTTCACTATTATACACATTATAAGTGGAAGACCGCTAGAAGTAACATTGGGGCAGTAAAAAGAAACTCTTTAGTAACTCAAAAATTTTCCATAGTACTTTAAGGGTAATTTGCCTAAATGTGAATTTACCTAAGTAGGAGGTTTCTCTGCTCTTAATAACTGTAGAATGTAGATGTAGATGTCGAAAATTTTCAAACCCAAAATAACTTTAAGAAGATAATCAGAAGGTCATTTTGACTGAATTTTGACATATGATATGGAGGATTACGCAAAACTTCTCTCCCAGCGGAGTCTCATGTTTTGAACGCTCACGTGAACGTCATGCAGACTTCATTTGCCTGAAAAGACAATGATTACCAGCAATGAAAAGTTTATTAACCGTCACAACCGAAATTTATCCCGTGCGTGTGTCATGACTTCAGTCAACACCAATTACATCTTCGCTCTACGCATACATTAATGTTCGTTAAATGAATGATAAAGGATTTGTTGTAGGAAAGTACATCACAATGAAAGTAAAACTCCTAGACTAAGGCTCCTATATAGCTTTGCTTAGTCCCATGACGCTACGGTCCATGTAGCAAAACGCGTCAGCAGCAGTGTTTGGTGCCCTGAGCCATGAATCGCCCAAATACTTGTCTTTATCCTTCAAGGTCAAACTCAATTTTACATCTTCAATGCTGCCCTCAAGATGTTTCAAGAACTTTTCAAACATGAGCGGAGTTCATGCACTTGCTATACGATTCAGCTGAACTAACTGCTAAAATGAGAAAACATTGGCATGTCAGTATGCCTTACTCTTTCATGAATTTGAGCCATTTATGGACTTGCTTTCTTCATGATGATAATGACGATGCTAATCTTAGTACCATCATCCGTAATTTCCAAATTATCCAATTTTCTAACTATAGCCTGATATCCATACCGCATGCAGTCTCTTGTTTTCGTCTCCTGAAGTGGCCTCCTTTCAGCTAGTCAAACAGAAGAAGGCAAATGGTCAGAACCAGAACGATCTGTTAAAATCAAAATTTGTCGGATCAGGAAAATCTGACAAAGGAAGATTCTATTGCTACGAGATAAATTGGCAGACATGTGACTGATTTTCAACAAGTTCGTGACATAGGAGCATAACATCACATAACGCAAAACAAGTAATTACAACAGTGATTAATATTTATGCACTGATGCTAATGTTAGTAACGTGTGAAGCGTTTTTTAGGGTACTGAAACAAACGTAAATACGTGGAAAACGATTCGTAGCGAAACTTTGGGTGAAATTTTGCCCACAAATTTTGAACGGGAGAAACTTCATGTTTAAGTCAAGTCCTGTCAAGAATGGGGTGCTATTAATCCAAAGTAGTAAAGACCTAACTAATCCCGCTGTTACCGGTCCCAAGCAGCCCGGTTAAGAAAGGAGGAGGGTTGGAGACCGTGATAAAGTCTCCGTAAAATTTAGCCACCTGCCATTGATGGCACTGACGCCACCGAAAATTATACCGCCTCGGTCGTCGCTCGAGTTACCAAGGGACGCGCAGGCTCTTGTCAGACTGAAGAAGACGGCGAAAAGTTGGCAATCAGAACCTACTCAATGCCAGCACAACAACGGTGAAGACTGACGGAACGACGACTAAGATACCAATCAGCAACGAAGTCGCTACCCGTTCTGAACGAAGAGGCAGACAGCGCGATGCCATTATAGCATTCACAAAAGGGCCCACGAGAACGACACCACCAGTGGGAGCTAAAAGTCGGAAACTGGAACATATCCTCACTCAGAGGAAAAGAACATGAAGTAGTTGATGAGGCCACAAAGTACCAACTGGACATTGTTGGACTC